CCTGGCTGAAGTCGGACGCTTAACCGACTGCGCCACCCAGGCGCCCCTGTTATTTATTTTTAAATAAACTCAAAGTAAAAGGAAGTTGATAACCTATTTGTAGGAAAAAAAAAACAGTTTATCTGTACACTCTAGCCTTTTATTTTTGGGAAAGCCTTTGAGAAAAAGTTACTGGGTGCTTCGATGCCTCATTTTCTTATCACTTGCAATGGAAGCAGAATGTTCTCTTCCTCCTCCTCTACCTCTCTCAGGTCCAAAATTGCTAATGTGCCTAACACGTGAGGTTGTTGAGAAAGCACTGGAATGATAAGAGTGTAGGCTCTTGAATCAGAGATATCTTGATTAGATTGTTGGTGGTTCCACCACATAGTTGTGTCGTGACCACTTGTAGACCCAGAGAAGAGGGCTCTGTCCTGTCCTGGGCTCTGTGGATTAAGAGACCTTGCATATCCAAAACATGCAACTACATTTATTAAATAACCCCAGGTGGCTTCTGTTCCTGGGGATCCTGTGCTCATCACGGGCACATAACCCTCAAATCCGTTTTCATGGTTAACACAGTTCAGGACCCAAAGAAATGCTTTTCCACACTTCCTGCCCTATGTCTTCAAAGGAATGTCGCTTCCTCTCAAACACCAGGAAGGCTTGCTGGTTGTGCCGCTGGGGACAACAAAGAAGAACACTGCTTTGGAGTGCAGGGAGGATTGGAGCTGCAGCAGAGGCGTTTAGATAAAAGACAAATTAATTAACTTGTCAAAACTTCCTCTCAGATAGCATAAATGCAATACATTCTTACATAATGAAGTGTCATTTCCAAGTTGTACTGAAACAAATGGCTGCAAAGGCATCCACTAATTAGCACAGTTTCTGCCACACTTGTACATGGTGTCTGAGGAACATTCTGTCCTGCTAAACATTCAACAACTCGTATACGTTCCACTTGTACATATAGGTGTGTATGTGGAGATGTAACTTGTAAGAAGCACGAAGCCGTCTCTTTACATCACTATTTGGGTAGATAGGAACACTAGAAGTGAGAATGGTTTTATTTCTATAAAAACATTTTATTAAATTTCAAGAACTAAAATGTTCAGCTTTCTTTAAATTGTTTTGATATTCTTTAAATATACAACATACTTTGGGAGGGGGGTGCCTGGGTGGCTCAGCCGCTTAAGCATCCGACTTAGCCTCAGGTCATAATCTCATGTTCCGTGAGTTCAAGCCCTGAATCGGGCTGACAGCTCAGAGCCTGGAGCCTGCTCAGATTCTGTGTCTCCCTCTCTCTTTGCCCCTCATCCACTCGTGCTCTGTCTCTTTCTCTTTCTATCAAAAATAAATAAACATTAAAAGATTTAACCATATTTTGTATTTGGCTCTTTAAAATATTTTAGAAGAAAATAAATTTAAAATAACTGTGGAGCAATGTTTTGATCCTTTATATTTACTTTAATTTACAGTTTTGATAAAACATATTTGATGCTTGGTATGTGAGCTTTGATAAAACACGTTCATATGTTGCATACTCTCAATACAATGATACTTTCCTTTTTAATCTTTCAGATTACTATAATTGATTGAATCCAAATTATGTGAAAAATCTTGTTTAGAACAGGGTATTATACAGAAATGAACAGAAAACTAAGGAAAATATATATAACAATGCTCATTTTCTCATGTTATTATTAAAATATTTTTAGTTCAGAGACAGAATACCCAAATGTATACAAAAATAATTAAATTTAATCATCTTTAACATTTTGTCAACTTTCAGCAATACAAAAAAGATAGCCTTCCACTTATTTTTTCAATTTGTTTTATGAAAGTATGTGTGTTGAGGCAGAAAAATGGGATATACTTATTTACGACTCTGATAGTTTAAATTATAACTATTAAGTACGCCGCCATGAAGCACAAAATACTATACCCTTGCCCAGATCCTACAATTTCTATGAATGGGGCTGAGTGAATGATCATCAGCATTAAACTTCTTGGTGCTTTAATTTCCTCATCTGTAAAATCAGAATGCTAACACTTCCCGAGATGATGAGAAAGATGGTATGAAATAACACCATAAAGCCTTTAGCACAGTGAGAGATGGTAAGACTCCAGTCGTGGTGTTTATAATCATCTCCTTACACGAAGTAACATCTCACTCGCTTCTGACATAGCACCGTCCGATTAAATTGTTATTAAGAGGCACGTCATCTCTTTATATAAGCATCGAAAGGTACTGAACCCTGGAAAGTATGAATTTATTTTTATAAAAATATTTAGTGAGATGTTATTAAATTTCAAAAACCAAAATGGAAATTCCAACTTGACTTAAATAAATCTGATAACACTTCCTAAAGTAATTAGAAAGATAAAATGAAGGGAGACTCATCAAGCCTTAACTCAGCAAGTATCTGAAAGATGGTGAGAACTTGCTTGCTGGCTTTCTCGTTTCCTTTCATGAACTGATCTATGCCATAGCACTGTTCTGATTAAATAACAATCCCAACCAAAATTAACACCCCACCACCACTAAAAACATGAAAATATATTTTGAAAAGCTTCTACTGCTATGGAAAATGGCTATTTTATTTTGTTACCCTCCCTTTATTTACACAGAGGGAGAACATGTGTGGTGTTCTTGGACTCAGGTATAATTTTTTTAAAGAGGTGTTTATCTGGCTCCTCTTGTTCTCTTTCTTTTCCTTTTCCATTTTACTGTTTTGTATGGAGTTCCACTTTTATAACACCCAGCATAACACTAAGTGTAGGTGTTTAAGAAATACAAATTTAATTTTTGGGTACTCCTTATTTTTATTTTGCTGAAAAGTCTTGAGTTAGTTAAAAAAGAAGAAAGAAAGAAAAAAAAAAGACACTAGCAGGGACTCTTAAACTAAAGCCCTTACCTAGTCATCACATGGATTTCTGTTCATTAAATTGATGGCTCTTGTACTAATCATGCTGCCTATTGACTGAAAAAAAATTTTTATACTAGAAATCACAAGAGTAAAACACAACTCAGAAGCTAAAAGGACATAAAGGCAGACAGGTAGAAATGAAAGTTAGATGAAAACAAAGCCTAATTTGAGTGATATCTTTAGCTTATAAACAAAATAACTTTAACAACCATAAGGTTTTGAAAAAATGTTACCATTAAGTTCATCTTTTGCTCTCTACATGATATAATAAAAGCAATGGACATTTCTCCCTTATGAGAATTGTCAGGATAGATGTACTACTTTCTTAACAACAACAACAATGAAAGTCAAATCTAAAAATAGGCTTCATTATTCCAATTAATGTCAAAACTTGACCAGGAAGCTTTCCTAATGCTCCCACTAAAAGTACCCAAATCTGGGCCCATATTTCTTATCATTTGAGAAACTCAAATCCATTTACTTCTAAGTTCTCTACGTTCAGTCACTGTCACTTTCAGAAGGTCTATAGAATGTCCCCACAACCTTCTATGATTCCCCATAGCCTTATTCTGACATTTAATATCATCCAAAATATAGTCACAGTCATTCATACAATATTGTTTTTATCCGAAATGTAGTCATCAAATGATTCAAACAAACCGTACCTTTCTTTACTACCTGAATATTCTGGGTCATTTTGCTTTTGATCTCTATCTGGAATGATAGCCTGTCTCCTACTTCCTACCATAGAAACCCAATTTATCCCTTGAAGCTTAATGTTCTTAATGTATCCAACCACTAACTGAGTTTTTTTTTTCCTCTTTAAATTATTCTCCTTCTATCCCAAGGATTTTATTTTATTTTATTATTATTTTTTTTAATATATGAAATTTATTGTCAAATTGGTTTCCATACAACACCCAGTGCTCATCCCAAAAGGTGCCCTCCTCAATACCCATCACCCACCCTCTCCTCCTTCCCACCCCCATCAACCCTCAGTTTGTTCTCAGTTTTTAACAGTCTCTTATGCTTTGGCTCTCTCCCACTCTAACCTCTTTTTTTTTTTCCTTCCCCTCCCCCATGGGTTTCTGTTAAGTTTCTCAGGATCCACATAAGAGTGAAACCATATGGTATCTGTCTTTCTCTGTATGGCTTATTTCACTTAGCATCACACTCTCCAGTTCCATCCACGTTGCTACAAAAGGCCATATTTCATTTTTTCTCATTGCCACGTAGTATTCCATTGTGTATATAAACCACAATTTCTTTATCCATTCATCCGTTGATGGACATTTAGGCTCTTTCCATCATTTGGCTATTGTTGAGAGTGCTGCTATAAACATCGGGGTACAAGTGCCCCTATGCATCAGTACTCCTGTATCCCTTGGATAAATTCCTAGCAGTGCTATTGCTGGGTCATAGAGTAGGTCTATTTTTAATTTTCTGAGGAACCTCCACACTGCTTTCCAGAGAGGCTGCACCAATGTGCATTCCCACCAACAGTGCAAGAGGGTTCCCGTTTCTCCACATCCTCTCCAGCATCTATAGTCTCCTGATTTGTTCATTTTGGCCACTCTGACTGGCATGGGGTGATATCTGAGTGTCATCCCAAGGATTTTATACTCTTTATGATATTTTTAATATTATACCTTAAAGTTTTGCTGTTTATTTTTTGGTTTTTGTTTCTCAAGGGTGAGTTACATTTGTAAATTTCCTTTCTGGATTATTTCTACTTTGAAACAAGAATTGGATTTTACTCATCTTTATAACAATGGCAGCTCTCCTAAAACTATTAAAGTAAATATTTGTGTTGACTCCTTTTCCAGATTTTTAAACTATTCCTAGACATATCTGAATTTTCGAATAGTAGAAAGAACATTACAAAAGCTGAGGGATGCTGGCTTAGTTGAATAATCTCTTGTGTAGGATCATGACTGTGGTTACTGTTCAAATTGTGGCAATACAAGGACTTGCTCAGTGGGCTTCTGTCTGATTTCTGTAATCAGGAAATAAGTCACAGCAAATGTATCTGTTCATTCATTTCGGCACCCCCCCCCAACATTGTAAGCACCTATTATGTCCTACATTTAGCAAAAAAAAAAAAAAAAAAAAAGACAAAGTCACACATATTTTTGTACATTTATCTTTGGTTTAACAGACACAAAACAAAAACCAAAATCCTTTCCAAAATGGTGTAATCCACTTAACTCTGAAACCCAGAAGTTTCTATTCTTTCTCTTTTATCCTCAATGGTCTTATTTTGCACTGTTTGAATCTATAAGTTGCTACATGTCCCTTTGAACACAGGCAAAGGACAAGTAGTGAACATTAATACTACATCTGCCAATACTCATCATCTAAATGTCTCAAAAGTCCTCCAGATCATATCAACACCTACAAAAAGCACTCTGAGCTATATCCTGCTCTATTTGGAAACAGAATGATGAATAAACTAATCTCAAGCTTTTTTGTTTGTTTGTTTGTTTGTTTTTGCTTACTTTTATGAAATATCAAGAATTTGGGCACTGAGCACGTGTAGTCATTAATGGTCCCACAGCACAAATTGCTGAAAACGAGATGCTCATAACCCAGACACCTTGGCCTAACTCCAAAGAAAGTAATTACATTCAGTCTACCTGAAATTACCAGTGCAGTGAGAACTGGAATCAGGTGTTGTATCCTGCTTAGCTGAACTATTATGCAACATCATTGTACAGCAATAAAACAGCTGCTACATTTGACTCACTTCTACTTTCTCCCAGTTTGGGCAACTAAAATGGCTCTGTACAAAATTTTTTGAATGAGAAATTAGACAGATAAGACCTACGGATTCTTCCTTCTTTTTCCAAGAACTAGGAATTTTGATACCAAGAGAATTTATTGATGGGGTTATATCATCTCAACATTAGAAAGAACCTGGTTGCAAAATAGCTTAGACATGTTCAAAATCACCATTAGGAAGTCATTTTTCATCATCTCTATCAGCAAAGAAAAAGATTAATAGCATGGTCTATAAAGATCCTCTAGTTTAGTTTCTTTAACAACAAAAATTTAGGGATGCCTGGGTGGCTCAGTCAATCGAGTGTCCTACTCTTGATTTCAGCTCAGGTTATGATCCCAGGGTCGTGGGATCAAGCCTTGTGTCAGGCTCCAATACTGCTCATGGAGACTACTTGAGATTTTCTCTCTCTCTCTCTCTCTCTCTCTCTCTCTCTCTCACACACACACACACACACACACACACACACACACATACTCTCTCTCTCTCTCTCTCTCTCTCTCTCCCTCCCTCCTGTTCCCTCTGCTCCTCTTTCCCTCTCATGCTCTCTCACTCTCTAAAAACAAACAAACCCAACAATAAAAATTTATACTCCTGTATTGAAACACTTCTCATTATTGTTTAACCAATGATCAGAAACCCAGTGAATGAGGCATCATGATGTCTGCTATAGGTGGCTCTTAGTAGCATCACAGTTCCTTCATTTTTTATTTGTTTGTTTTCAGGCCAGGATAGGTTTATTAATTCCTAGAATTATAAAACTTTTATGTATTTTACTGAGTGTCATTTATTATTTAGATAATTTGGTAAACTACAACAGGAAGAACTTGTAACACCGTTCCTCATTCCTAGATATTTATTTTCTTTTTCACAAGCTGCAAATGAAATTGGCTAAGTCTTTGGGCTTATTGATAAAAGATCAAGAGAAAACGAGACAACATCCATCAAAGGGAATAATTAATAATTGCAAGCACTTATTGGGGAACTTACCAGGATTAAAGATAAATAATTTGCCTAATTTCATAGTTAAAAAGTGATAGAATCAAAATTTAAGGAAGGCAGTTCCATAATATAGATGGTGGGGAAATATCCAACAGCACAGTAGCATAGGATAAAAACAAAATTTATGAAATACTGGGACGGAAACAAAGCAAATTTCTCAAGTCCTTTGTAAATAAAACTAGCATTAAATTTTAATCTCAATTTTTAAAAGGCCAAAAGGGCTATTTAAGCATATAAAATAATAATCATTGATCTGCCAAAGTTTCAAGTATAAGGCCACTTGCTTGAACAACTATGATTCCAGATGGTTTGATCAAGCACAGACTATCTTAATCAAGACATTCAAGTAACTTATATTGTTTTGATGCTTGGCTTTAAACAAAAAATAAAAAAAAAACAGAGGGGTAAACAAGAATTTATAAAAACAATCTTTCTAGCGAGTGTTTCTTTATTACTGTGAACTAATCAGTAATACTTAGAATAATATGAGGAGACCAAGAGCACCTGTTTATCACAAAAGGGTTCATTTAGGTTCACTTTTCTTCACTGAGACATTAAAGTGACTAAGCAAATATAATCAAACACTTTTGTTTGAATTTTGTAGAGAATCCAATATGTATTTCCTCTGGGGTTCTTTTTTATTCCTTTTGTTGTGGTTGTTTAACTCTTAGTTGTCTAGAAAATTCATTAGATAGGACAACTTACTTCTTGGGCATCACGATTAATTTAGGGTTTGTTGTGTTACTCAGTGAAGGAGAATCGGATAGTAAGCTACTAATCCCAGAAAGGAATTTTATTTTATTTTTAAAAATTTATATATATATTTGGGGGTGGGGAGAGACAGAGGCAGAGAGAGAGGGGGGCAGAGGATCCAAAGCAGGCTCTCTGCTGATAGCAGAAAACCTGATGCAGGCTCAAACTCATGAACCCTGAGATTGTGACCTGAGCCAAATTTGTATGCTTAACCAACTGAGCCCCCAGAAAGGAATTTTAAAGTATACTCTCTTCTCACAAGGGGCTGGATGGGGGAGAGGTTTTTTGAAGGAGTGATGCTTCTTTTATCTTCTATGTCAAGTATGACAAAACCTCTCATGAATGTTTGCAATTACTGAAATTGCTCTCTTAGTTTCTAAGGTAGTGGCTTATAAAATTTGGAGTGTGTCAGAATCATCAAAGAATTTGTTAAAACAGATTGTTGGGCCCCACCTCCAGAATTTCTGATCCCTACTTATAAAGTAAGACCAAGGATTTATATGCCTGACACATTCCCCAGTGATGCTGATACCTCTGGTCTGCAGACAATACCTTTGTGAAACACTTTCCTAAGGTACATGGAGGCATCCTTTTGCCAGACTCACCCCTTTGAAATCTGTAGTAGACACTTTTTTCCCCCTACTTAACACCCTCTCTCTCTCTCATTGTGCCACACTTTCCAGAAACTCTAACCACACAGCTTCCACAGTACTAGTATGACTCCATAGACAGTCATCAGGGTGGCTCGTCCAAGACTATGCGATTGTTCTAAATTCTGCTGGTCAGGGCATTTCCCTGAGATTTTTTTTTTTTTTCAATTTTAGACTGGACATGTGAGAATCTTTCTCTCTGGTGCAATAAGCCCAAGGTTTGAAACATATCAGCTCTTGGTATCCATATTTCCTTCATGTGGTGAAATGTAGACTGTAGGACAGAGGATAAAGTAATGTGCAGTGAGAAGCAGACATGAGAGACCAAAGAAAAGCACTGGAGGGTTGAGTTCCAGCTGTTTGTGAAGTATCATTGCACTTCTATCTTTCCTGTTTGGATAAATCAAGTATCTTAGTGACCTGCCAGAGAAATTGTGTTTTCTCCTAGCCAGCCAGAACTGACTTTTTATTACTCACCACTAGAAAGGTAACAGCCCTTTTATCTGTACTTCTCAATGCATGCAAGTTTATTTCTCTTAAGGAGTTAAGATGATATAGAACCAGATAGCAAATCACCTGTATTTTGTATATAATTAAACTATTTGTAGAAACACATCACAGATCATTTGAAGAAGAAACCATGTTTCTAATTACAAGATGTAAAAGGAACAAATGCTCATGTCCATATATGGACTATCCAAGGTTGCCATGGCTATCTGGAAACTTGGACCTAATATAAGTCTCCAGCCGGCAGCCAGACCACCAGGAACCGGAAGAACTATTTCAGAACAAGATGTCCATGTGCTTCAGCAGCCAAGATCACATATATGGCTCCTAGAACTTGGCTTGTTCTTCACTTTGAGGTTCTCCAGTGACCAACTCCTCCCAGTTTAACCAAGACTATCCTGGTTTTAAAAATGAAAGCCCTATATCCCAGGAATCCTTTCACTCCTGAACAAACCAAGACAGTTGGGAAAAATACATTGAACACACTGTTTACTGAAGCAGTGATTCTTTGACCCTTTCTTTGGAAAAAACTGATCTTTCAAAATGGAAGCTGAATAAGAAAACCTGATGATCTTGGTTGCAAGAGAAAAGGAGATGTAATAATATATCCTCCCATTGAAGAACATCAGCAAATCCTAAGTATCTACTCGGCACATTATTGATCTGCACCCATATTATTTTAAGTATTTTTTTCCATATTGAAGACCAGACTTCACAAACTTGGCCTTTTCTTTTTTAACATTTATCTATCACAGTTGAAAAAAGCATCTTAATCTAGACTGGTCAATGCTAAACTGTGTCAAAGCTGAAGATGTTGATGTATTTTCTAGACTCTTCCTAGTCTACTCCATTTTTATTAGCAAATTCACCTTAATATATAAATGGGTGATAATGTGTTACCCCTAAGGTAT